TTGGGTGTACCCTACATTGCTAGTAGTAGACCAATTCCATTATCATTACTAGAAGTTCACGTCTGTCAAATTAAGATTGTGAGTTTAAGATTAATGGTAGAGGTTTCGAGAAGGAAACATTTTTGTAGATCAAATTTGTCTTTACAGCTTAAGTAAATAAAGAAGGTTTTAGCGTTGGAAAATAATAACATACTTTAGAGAGAGGAAAATATGATATATTTGGGAAAGTTTTTCTTTGAACGTCATTTGAATTTAAACACAGCTTCCACGTCATAATGCTTTGTCTCAGTTTGAAGATTTCGTATTTCTGCGAGGCAAATATATAATATGTTATTTCAGTTAAATTAATGTGTTATATTATTCTTTAGAAAATAAAACAGAGTACAAAATCTGTCGCGCAAGAAAATTACGTAGATGTCATTTGTAAGAGAAAAATAAGGGATATTTCTATTATATTTATTAAAACAATAAATGAGTTAAATTACGAGTGACATTGGGTACTTATAAAGTAAGGATATAAGTTTGTATCTTTTTTGTTTGTAATACTTCATTGTACAGTAAATACATTTAAATTAAAATTATAATAATCTCATGATAATAACAATAATAATAATCTCAGGGCAATTCACACAGCGCCATCCAAGAGCCAAGTTAAGCTAGCTAAAGCTTGTGTTATGGGTACTAGATAACTGATACATATATATAGTTATTTTTTTTTTGTAAATGCATACATATTATACATAGAAAACACCCACACCGATAAAAAATCGTACTCATGAATACAAATGTTTGTGCCGTGCGAGGAATCGAACCCGCGACCATCGGAAGTAAAGCGGTGTGCTAGACCACTAGACCACCGAGGTCGTCAAATTAACTAAAGATACAATGATCTTAAAAAAAAAGTAACTTGTACAATGGCAGACTTATCCCAAATAAGGGATTTCTTCCAGTCAACCTTTGAATAACTGAAAGAAATTGTGGAGTGGTGGAAATATATAATATACATGACAATAACAACAAAGATTGATAACCCCAAAATGTACCATGTCAACCTCCACGGATTATATATAACTGACCTCATAATATATGAGCGCAGGCGGGTGCACCATTCCATTATCATCCACAAAAAAAAAAAAAAATAACAACAAAGGAAAAAGAAGTAAACGGATTATATATAACTATAATATATGACAACTAGAATATTAAATAAATATTTAAGTATAATATATAAATATACCTACATATAAATAAATTAATAATTAATAATAATAATATTGAAATAAAAAATATATAATTACTCATTTTATTATTTATTTCATGTTAGTTTTTACTTAAATGCACCGCCACTAATCTCTGTTTGCCCTATGGCCGACTGGGAGAATATGCCTTATGGGACAGGGATGAATGGAAACGAAAAACATATTACGCCGACCCCAAATAAATGGGATAAGGATGAAGCAGATGATGATGGTGTTAATATGAACTATTTTTTTTGTATTTGTGCATTAAGTTTTCATAAATAAAAAAATAAATATATAAAAGACAATACTACTGTATAAAAAAAATATGAAGAATACTAAAACAGCGCATCCGCAGTGCGACTCCAAAGTTTTTTGAAGCGAGCCTTAAAAGAGTAAACCGATGAAGACAATCTCAGTCTTTGTGACAGACTCGACGCATTAGTTCTCGTCGAGATATTGCATCTCTGTGCATTTTCTACCGCACATATCACGGTCACTGTTCTGAGGAATTGTTCGGATTATTACCAGCTGCTGAGTTTCACCACTGACCACCCGTCAGGAAGTAAAATACCATCCGATCTTCTGGATGAATAACGGTCCTTCATAGTGCGGTTTTTTTAGAAACGTTTTGCCATACACAACCACATTGTAGAATGACTAAAGTTGTATCCGTCAGGCTGTCCCAGCAATGGTATTCGCCCCCTATCGTCCGGTCGAACCGACTGCATCGATGAAACACATTGAACCTTCCAGCAATGGTATTTTCGAACCGATACGATATTGAAAGCTTCAAGAAAAGAGCTTACTCCTTCTTAAAACACTGACAACGCATTTGCAATTTATTATGGTATGGGCGTGGATAATCATTTACCATCAGGTGAGCCGCAAGCTCGATTGTCTCTATGCTATAAAAAATATTTGTGAATCATTGGAATATAAGTCTAAAGTAATAAATACAAATACAAAGTACATATTAATATTATAAAATATATACATGAAAAGATAAGAAACAGCGTGAAAAGATCAATAATTATAATAAATAATTGTTTTTCTACATAATTTTATATTTAGTTGTTGTCAACATATGAATAGAAATAGAAATAGAAATAATCTTTATTCAAATAAACTTAATATAAGCACTTTTGAATAGTCAAGTTTTTTATTCTACCGCTTATTCGGAATGCAGATTCATCACAAGAAGAATAAGCAAGAAACTTGTGTGTTGCTCTTTTAAATAAATATTGATTTACTTATATTTAATTAACAACAAGGATTAGGCATGCGACAATCAACATAGAAACCGCTACGCACTTAATCTCTGTTCAATCAGATAACATTGTCACCGCTATGAATTTTAAAATAGATATTTTCTATAAAAAAAAATAAACTCTATATACACAAGTATATAGTAGAAATTCTATTGAGTACAGTCGACAACATAATGTACGGATTATTGATGGGGCTATCAAGGATGTCGCTTACATGGGATTTGCCTAATTCATAGTGCAAGTGTCGGCAATACAGTGAGGCGTAGTGATTCCCTGTCATTATTTACACCGAAAGAGTGGAGACCGAATTTATTTATTTATTTATTAGCATACAAAACAGATTACAGTCAATATAATAATATAACGCGTGTAGTTCGTACAAAACTGGATTGTAATCCAACACTATGTATCCTAAGAGCTAAATTACGACGCATTCAATATCCAGGTTATATAATAAAAAGTAATAGAAAATGATATATAACTACGTAATGCAATGAATTGATAAACAAAATAGTAGCAACGCCGCAGCTAGATGATGCGACGATATACGAGGATTCGATCGACCCCCGTCCGATTCAAACGCGATGCTTTCAGATTAATGCTTTCAGGCTTCGTTCTCTCCGTCAGGTGGGAGTTTGCCTTCAGCCGCCCGATAAGTCCTTCCGCAGATTTGAAGTGCATTCTGCACTCGCTCGATCCATCCATCGTCCAATGAAGCTGTAAAGGCCACCTGCGGCCAATAGTATTAGAGTAGTCCAAAAAAAAAGTAGGGTTGCATGTAAAGATTGGATGAGAAGGGCTAATGATCATGTCGGTTGGGATCTCCCAAGGCACGCCACTCTATGTCCAGCAGTGGACTACAGTGGACTGCAGTGGACTGAAGATGATTTACCCCGTTTGTAATTTCAATATTTGGTGGAGCATGTAGATTTAGGTTTTTTTTTCCATAATTGTTTATCGATTTGTAATTTCAATAATATTTGGTGGTTTTACCATCTAGATTAGGTCTTTTTTCCATAATTGTTTATTATTAATATCATGTCGGTTCGGAAATACCATTACCGTGATGTGATTCCATGTAGAGATTATGAGTAACAAAAATAAATTATAATATATTGCATGTAGGTACATGATACGACACGGTGTAACACGGTGCCATAGTGAGTGAATTAATACGACATTTCGAACACATAGTTGCCTACATACGCAGTACAGTATGGTATGTTGGTATCATTTGTCATGGATAGGTCGTTTTGCACAGCTTGTAGCCATGGATGTATGGTAAGCTTATATATATATTAAAGTATATAGGTATATAATAACAATGAAAAAGATAAAGTATTCATTTTACAATGAGTGGTCCAGCTACCGATATATGTAATAGGCTTCCTTTCGCACAAGTAGAAAATGTTGGGATGAACATAAAGTCTGATCAGCCTGGCGCTGCTAACTCACAGAGAATTAACCACGAAGGTTTCTAGGATTACCAGTTTTGGTTACCGTTGTCAAATTGGTTTATAATACATTATTGATTACCTACAACAAAGTACAAATCTTTGCTTGGATATTTCAACCGGTTTTCCTTGTTTTTTTCAATGTAGTTGTAAATTACATTTATCGTCTTTTTAGAAAATGTCTTTATTATAATGTTGAAGATATACAAATTTCTTATTACATGTCAATAGCAGTTGATGACGACCGACAGCCATACTCTTTAGATATTTTTATTATTTTTTCATTTATATTTTTAGAACAGTTATTTTTATATGTTATGTTTTTTTATAATGATTAATGTTACCATAGTTCGCAGCTGCATATTAATATATATTACTAACATAATCCACGCGTTTTCATCAGTTAGACCATACAGTCCACCGATCCGTTTGATGGAGATATTCAGTGGATATAGAGAAGTGAATACAATTTAATCTGGTTTTCACCAGTTACTCGTCACACGTAACTGTTACTTAGCAAAAGGAATAGTAATTTTAAATGTGATGGATTCCGTTACAGTAGTTGAAATCTGTACTTTCTTCTCCCTCTGGAAGTCTGCAAATGTAATGAATAAATAAACAACCTTGGACAATTAAAACAGCGCCATCTAGTCCCACGGTAAACAAACCTTGTGTTATAGACTACTAGACAACTGATATAAATACATAGATACTATTTTTGTAAATACATAGAAAACATTCAGACCGATACAAACATTCATATTCATGAATACAAATGTTTATACCATGCGAGGAATCGAAACCGTGATCATCGGTAGTAAAGCGGTGTGCTCAACCAGTAGACCACCGAGGCCGTCAAATGTGACAGTGAAATTACAGAGTGCAGATACGTAATATGTATTCTAGTTTACATTAATAAAAACATAAAAAAAATTGTGAAAAAGACGTTTATAATATTGACTATTAAGTTATATCACACGTAACATTGCCAGATAATAAGTTTTTAGAGCTCAGTATAACTTAACACTGCACAGAATACTGACCACTGATGTCGTTCTTAAATTTACAAAAATATGAATTTTATTGTTAAATGATTAATGTGTAATTGTTATTTAGTGTTATTTTGTTGAAATATGAAGATGTTATTGTTAGTTGTTATATTTGTTATGGATATAGTGAGATATGGTCGGATGCAGATAACATTAAATGCTCCTATAGTTAGAAATTACCCATGCAAGGGAATTGAGAATATTGACGCCATATTTGAAATAGGTATAAGTAGGGAAGAACAAAACAAGTATTACTTAAACGTGTATGAAAAGTTTTCTGCTCAATCGCGTATGGAAATTAAGTTCGATTCTGATGTAAAAGTTACATTGGTAAGTCATATTTTACTAGATGCCTCTTGTTATTTGGATCTCGGCGATCTAGCGGTTGATTTACTTTCGATGGTCGCGGCTTCGATTCCACGAACTGTAAAAACTTTTGTATTCATGAATATGATTGTTTGTATTAGTTTAGATATATTGCCTAAAGTCTATTATTCTGTATTTAACGACCTCGGCGGATTAGCGGTTTTAGCACACTATTTTACTCCCGATGGTTGGGAGTTCAATTCCATGCACTATTATTTGTTTCGCAATGCTACAGATGTGACTATTGATTTAACATATCATATGGGTTTGTAGTAACTGTATACATATAAATAGATAAAACTAATCAATCTGGCCGTAACCAGAGCATAAGGTTACCTGCACTGATTAAACTTTGGTTTCTTTGACAAATATGCAATAGCAGATGTTCATAGTGACTATATTATATTCTCTCTAATTAAGTTTATAAAAGAAATCTATATTTTTGTAAAGAGGTACAAGAAATATCGAAGAAAAGACGTCTTTTGAAAAGATCTGATTTTATTGTCAGTTCTTAGCACGTAGGCACTCCGAACCTACCGTTATTAAAATCTACTGTCATTTAACATATGATGAATTTTGATTTGGTCTTGAAGATTTTTGATTTGATCTGATACATTCAAATTTTGTTGTAATGTATTTCGAAATAGTATCAATTAATTGAATTATTTAGAATTAAAATAAAATGTTGACAATTAATGAAATATTGACATTTTATTATATTCCATAATGTTTTTAAAGTAAGAAGTTATGGTGAATGAGTAATATTTAGAATTTATAATGACTTGATTGATTTAATATTTGTACGCTGGAAACAGCAGAATATGATGAAACATATATTATATATACTTACCACCATTGTACATACCATATTCTGACAAATAAATATATTATTATTATTATTAATAATAAATATAAGAATAATGTTATGACTTTAAAAAGAACAACAGCTTAAGTTCATGCCAGTTTTTTCTACTGGAATTATTGCCTGAAGAGAGTAGGGTTAAAAAGTAATATAACAAAACATGCTGAACTAAAATAATGTACCAATCCTTATTAGGAAAACTTTGTTCATAGACAATGTTACCTCTTATGAGTTTAATTGTGTTTAATTTAATTTATTGATAAGAAATTTTATAATTTCAGTTTGAAGAGCCGTATATTGGACAGCCGTCAAATAGGGTAAGCCTATATATTTTGATGAAACTTCAACAATATTGATTCAGCTATTTAAGCTATCTTCATTTCAATAAATATAAGTATTTTTTTTAAACGTTTTTGAGTAATATTTATTTTAAACGACCGCCATTTTTTTTAAATCTTACATTACTTAGGGACTTTTATCATAATACAATCATGCCATTTCCATCGTGATTTATTTATAATTCTTTTTTACATGTAACATAAGATACCTTTTTTTACTGGGCTTTACAGCTTCACCGGACCATAGGAAGCGAGTGCAGATGGCACTCCAAACCCACGGAAGGACTTATGGAGCGACTAAAGGCCAACTCCTGTCTGACGGAAACGACTTTAATCTGAGGGCACCGCTAGGGATTCGAACCTCGGCTCAGGCCAAAATTTAACAAAACAATAAAATAGAAAGTTAAAATTTAATGTGTTCTATAGTATTTTTTTAAACCTTTTCAGGTCAACGATACAGTGGCAAGAGTGGGAACGTTTGCATCGAATTTTGAGATTTTCGTAAGATTTTTACAGCCGATGTCGGACTTGAGTCTTCTAGTTAGGGGACCTCAAACGGGGACAGTGCCATATCCTACTTCTATAAACATAAATTCAGTGGAATACTGTACGGAACCCGCTCCAGTGAGTGTTTATTTGTTTGTTTGTTTATTAGAGATATAATGTCATCTATATAATACTAGCTGTCCCGGCAAACGTTGTTTTGCCATATAAATTAATAACGCTATAAAAAATAGGGGTTGATGATAGAAGGGTGAAAATTTAGGATTGTATGTATTTTTGTATGTTGTATCATAAAAAAATAGAAAATAAAAATTTTGTCTAAAAAATAAAAAGTTTAGGGGTGGACTACCCCTAACATTTAGGGGGATGAAAAATAGATGTTGGCCGATTCTCAGACCTACTTAATACGTTCACAAAATTTCATGAGAATCGGTCAAGCCTTTTCGGAGGAGTATGGGAACGAAAACTGTGACACGAGAATTTTATATATAAGATATATTCTGGCAGGTTAAGTCCTTGTTAATAAATATTTCTCATTTTAAGGGTTTTAATATTAAGTGAATACCTATATTTTATATTATATATAGCTAGAATGAAAAGAGGACGAGGGAAGTCACTTACAAAATTTTATTCTTACTTGGAGAAAATACCTCATGGAGAGCCGCCCACGGGGGATCAAAGTGGGTACTGCGAGACCACTACTCACTAAAAACTCCAAGGTATCCTGACGAAGCACCTATTGCTGGATCAGAAATCGCAGTGTCAGTCCTTTAGTTTACAAGCCCCTTCGCTCTTTGTTTTTGGTGGTCAACCTTCCTCTCTTGAAAAGGCGTGCGGGACTAGGCTTTTCTTGGAGATGCAGCTGCCCCCGCGGTCACACCTCTGGCCCTTGCGGCGATCCGCCTATGAAGCCACTAACTGCCTGGTCTAACTACTAATATACTACTAATGTCCATCCTGATAGATCTTAGAATAGGTTATCTACTTTTTTTTACCCCAAATAATAGGCGTAGTCATCCCAAATTTATTATTTTATTTTTAGGCAAAATTCTTATCTTATTTTTTATGATTCGGTTTTATGAAAACATACCTAAAACCCCATTTTTACCCTTGTACCATCAAGCTATTACTTAATTCGGAAAAATAACTATTCCGGCAATAGTGATTTTGCCAATTTCTTGTCAGTTACTTATATATTTATTTTAGGGATTTGTTGACAGTTTCCTTGGTGGATATAAAGGTTCAGCGTTAGCAGCTCTATCAGTTCCACCCGGTTCATGTGGGAGACGGAAAGTGGTGCACACGGAGCTGATCGTGAACGGACAACCTACCAAGCCTGGAGACTGGCCCTGGCATGGAGCCATTTACAGGCTGGAACAATCCTCTGTGAAGTATATTTGTGGCGGAACACTGATATCGAAGACTTTCGTTCTAACTGGTTAGTAATTTTTTAGGTCCTTGGCGTTGACATATCCAGTGACGTTCAGTTTTGCGGTCATTTGGAGGACAAAGCTAAAATAGCTTCAAAAAAGCTAGGTGTGCTCAGTAGAGTGAGACGCCCAGCCCATCGCTCTTTTTTTTATAACACAGCAGACAAACCAGCTCTGGATGCGGGTCACCTGATGGTATGATGGATGATGATGATGATGATGGGTGGTATGATGATAAGCATCCGCAACGTCAGGAGAATAGCAAGTACGTTGCCAGCTTTTTAAGAAGGAATAAGCTTTTTTCTTGAATATTTCAATATCGTTTCGGAAATACCATTGCTGGAAGGTGATTCCACAGTATGGTTGTGAAATATAGTAAGCAATAAAAAAAAATATGTATTGTTTCAGCTGCTCATTGTACTACAATAAATGGAGGTCCAGTGGTGCCAGAGATAATGAGTATTATTTTCGGAAAATATAAACTGATTGGTGGCGATATTGCAATACAGGAGAGAGAGGTAAATAATAGTCAATAGAATTGAATGATTATTATGAGAGAAGAATAGTTATTCACTCTCTTTTCTTCTTTATATAATTCTTCTTCTTTGAGGATTCCTCAAAGCCGTGACCACCAGGAATTGTTCTTCCAACAAAATCTCTCCAGGCATCTCTATTCTATGCCAGATGGACGAACTGCATATTTCCTTCCTTATATTCTTAACCCTAATAACCCTGGACAATTAACACAGCACCATCTAGTCCCAAGCTAAGCAGAGCTTGTAATAGGGATACTAAACAATTGATAAAAATACTTAGATTTTTGTGAATACATACATAATATACATAGAAAACACCCAGATCGATACAATCATAGTCATGAATACAAATGTTCGTGCCGTGCGAGGAATCGAACCCGCTACCATCGGAAGTTAGAGCGGTGTGCTACACCTCTAGACCACCGAGGCCATCCATTTTTATAATTTACTTCTGCTGCAATAAAGAGTAAATAAACAAAAACATATAAGAGAGTAATATAATATATAACTGGCCGCATTTTGTATCCTACAAATGGTTAGTTGATTCCTATAAATTATCTGATGCAATAAACGGTATATATATAAGTAAATAAAATATTTCATATTTAAAGTATTCTTTAACAGATATATAGAAATATAGTACACAAGGAATACAATCCAAGAAGGTTGGATAACGATATTGCATTATTGCAATTGAAGTCTGAAGTGATATACGACGATTATGTCCAGCCAGCTTGCTTGTGGCACGTCAATAACTATAAAAAAATACCAGCAGGATCTATGAAGGGTACTGTAAGTAATGATATATCTTGCTAATATTAGTCTCGCGGAAGATTGAGTGTGCATGCATGCATGGATCTTTGTTATTCTTTCACTTCAAAACTATTCAATGGATTTTTATAAAACTTTACAGAAATATAGTTTATACATCTAAATAATAATAATCTCAAGACAATTCACACAGCGCCATCTGGACCCAAGTTAAGCTAGCTAAAGCTTGTGTTATGGGTACTAGAATACAAATACATAGATTTTTTTTTCGTAAATACATATATATTATACATAGAAAACACCCAGACCGACACAAACAATCATACTCATGAATACAAACGTTTGTGCCGTGCGAGGAATTGAACCCGCGACCATCCGCATGCTCGTTTGTCCCCTGTGTTATAAAAAAAAAAAAATTCTTTTTTATTATTACTATTTTTCACTTCGTCAAGGAAATGTAAAATAGTTGTTATTTCATTTTTATATGTATGTATAATCCTGCTTAGCTTAAAACTAAATGAAGCTGAGTGAATTGCCTTCAGTTATTATTATTTAGATAAAACCTTCATCAAAAATAATTCATAACTAAATTACAAATTTAAATATTTGAAGTAACAGCTAAATCAAAAGTCCCCTGTAAGTCTCATGAATTGTAGCTAAGCAGAAAACTCCATCTCGATCATATCAGCTTCAAATAAACAAAAATGCATCATAATCGGTGCAGAATCAGACACGATACCACAGACAGTAAATATACACAGTCACAGATACGTAAGCTTCTAAATCCCTCATTATGCATCGAAGGTTAAACCAATCAAGACTTTAATAAACTTCAAAGTATATAGTTATTTTTTTTTTCATAAAAATTACTCCGCTTAGCATAATATTGCTGCAACCGAAGTTACATCGCTGATTTTCAGTGGAGGCCTTAGGCTAAGTAGTAGCACATAAAACAAATGGTACAAGTAAATTATGAAAGTCACAGCCAATGCAAGAAAAAAATGCAATTTATAACTGTACATTCAATTATAATATAAAATTATTACATTAATTAAGATTATGTGATACTTCCACGATGGATGAATCAAATCTGCAATCCTTTGGGGAGGTGCCCACCTGGGCGAGGGAGGTCATGTATTCGCGTAGGTGCCTTTGATTCGGCAACTTTCTTAGAAGCGGACCGAATATAGAACGCTGACTGTGCGGTACTGATGAAGCAACATGACAGGGCTGCTACTCTATGCAGATTCAGGGTTGTCACTCTATGAATTAAATAAATCTGTATTATTGTAAACATGTACAACACTTATTTGAAAAGAATACGAGCTGAGTTTCTTTGTCAGTTCTTCTCATCTCGAAATCATTCCGAACTGATGATAGATTTCACATATCATAAGTCTGTAATAGACCTACATGAATAAAGATAATTTGAATTTGAATTTTATGTAACAACAAAGAAGTTTTACTGTTGACTAAACAAAACATATTACTTTCAGGTAGTTGGGTGGGGATTCAATCACAACAACACACTAGCAAGTACCCTTCATCAAGTCGTCCTGCCTAAAATATCAGAAAGTTCATGCGTCAAAAGTAATATTGACTTTTTCGGGAAGATATTGAATGATAGGAAATTTTGTGCTGGCTACAGAAATGGTGTGGTTCTTTTGAGATATTTTTAATTAACTTCATATATAAAATATATATGTATAGCTTAATATATTTTATTTTGGTTGTACATTTAAAATATTTCTTCTATTTGAGTATTTAATTGAATTAGTGCTAATTGGTAGTTTGTATTCACACACTTCAACTTAAAATGTATAGTAACAATAAAATGATTTAAAAGAGCAACACGCAACTTTCTTGCTCGTTCTTCTTGTGATGAGACAGCCTTCCGAATGAGTGGTAGATTAAAAAAAATGTGATGACTATTCAGAAGTGCTTCAATGTGAGTTTATTTGAATAAATGATTTTCTATTCTATTCTATTCTTTAATAATAATTTAATTATATATTTTTAGGCTGTTTTGCTCATTCTGTTAGTATTACAGTTTTCTTAGTTAAAGGAAGTAACGGATGACTGAGCGACCTCCCAATAGAGTTCGATAAGTCCCACACAACCCCTCTGACGAATGAACTGTCTTTTGGAGATATTTCCACAAGATAAAAATAAAAAAAAATCAAGAAGTAGACTAAATACTTTCAGGAGTACATATTGGCAATACACCCATCATTTTAGTAATATTATAAATGCGGAAGTTTGTAAGATGTATGTGTGGATGTATGTGTGGATGTATGTGTGGCGAATTAACTATTATCCCGCAGCAACATCGTTGCCCAGTTACGACAGAAGAATGAATGATGAACCTTCTTGTACATATAGCAATTGTAAATATTTTGTTAATATACAGAATCTAAATAGCAATCACTGGACTTATCACTTCATCTCCTTTCCTGACGCTGCTACAGAGAACACATAAACATAAATATTAGCGGCCCCAACATAACACGCTAAAAATGGATAGATGTTTGTTAGACTTTCATGCAAAAACTACTGAATGGAAATTGATGAAACTTTACAATAATGTAGCTTACGCATCAGAATAGCACATGGCTATAAATTTACTAGCTAGTAAAAAGTAAAATAAATAAATAATAATATATTCTTAACTTATCATAAAATTCAGGTACCTCAGCCTGCAATGGTGACAGCGGCGGTGCTTACCAAGTCTTTGTTCCTGACATTACTGCTGATTCATCAGTAGATGCTCCTGGTTCTTGGCACGTCCATGGAATAGTGTCTCTCGCCTTATCACGACCTAATGAAGCTATTTGTGATAACACACAATACTCAATATTTACGGATGTCTCTGCATTTGTACAATGGATATATGATTATGTGAAGACTGATAATTAATGTTAGAAACGCATTTATTAAATAATATATTTATCTCAACAAAGTTTTGTATGTTTTTTTCCCGGTATCTTAATTTAAATAAATACATTATTTATGTAAGATCCACTAATAATGATGACCACTTAGAGCCACGGAAACTTTGAAAAAAAAAACTGCTGGATGAATATTGCAATGTTTAATTTGTTGTATTATTGAAATAAAAAATTCTTAGAATTTATTGTACCTACACTGAATTTAATAGTGACGCCACGGAATGTTCGAGAAGAAGTGCAAAATGTACATAAAGTTAAATAAAATAACATCGATGTTCCATGCGTGACGTTCTAAATTTGAATTATATTTTATTTTTAAATGTACATAATTATATGCCTCTATCTGATGGTAAATGGTTGCAATAACCTATGGACGCCTGAAATAACAGGGGTGTATCGTGCGCGTTGCCAAACCTTAAGAAACCTTAATACCAGAGTGATTCTCATACTCCACGTGATTCCCCTGGAAACTAACTAACCTGACCTTACTGGTACCTCACCTTTACCTAATGTGAATGCTATATTTCTTGCTCGTTCTTTTTGTGATGAGACAGCTTTCCGAATGAGCGGTAGATTAAAATGTGATGACTATTCAAAAGTGCTTCAATGTAAGTTTATTTGAATAAATGATTTTCTATTCTATTTTGAAAGGGGATAAGAAAGTTTGCATTGCAAGTATAGTAATTTTTGAAGCTTGAAACGTGTTGTCCAAATGCATAAGCTATAATACTGAAAAGTTACAATAAAATCCGATCAGTAGTGTTTTACTTGAAAGACTAACAAACATTCATACTCACAGACTATCGCGTATGTAATATTATTATGATTTCTTCTTTATTTCGCCAAGGTCATCATTCAACACGAAAGAAGTCGAAGTCACAGCTAGTTAATATGTAATTAAATTTTAATGTACTACATTAATAAAACGCGTTTATAAACTTCATAATGACCCTTAATCAGGACCTGATACGTAAGTACCTACCCAGATGATAGGAATTTTAATGTTTAACGGTAAAAACGAATACTACTTATGTATTTGTAACTGTGTTAATATAGAAACTGCAGAAATGTATGGTACAGAAGCAGGAAATTTTATATACTAATAAGAAGAGGATATCGAATCTTGGTGCTATATAGTTATATATATATATTACCACAATTTCATATTTTCTTATATACATATATGAAAATTTCGTGTCACGTTGTTTGTCTGCAATGGAATCCTAAACTATAGAAACGATTTTGATGATATTTTATATATATGCTGGATAAGTCTGAAAATAGGTTGTTATCAATTTTTTTATAACACTAATCGACAATAGGGTGGTCAAAAAGGGTGCACCCAAAAAAATCTCATTTTTGTTATGATTTTTATGAAATTTGCTTATAGCAAACCTAAATTTTTACCCTTCTACCATCAGACCCTATTTTTTTATAGCTCTATAATTTTTATGGCAAAACAATGTTTGTCGGGACAGCTAGTATTATTTATATAGCTTATGTATATATACATATTATTTTATATACCCTTTATAATCGAAACGTAGCTTACAAAGTATGTGGCAAATTCTTTTAGACGCAGACCACTTCTTGCAAAGTCTACCTTAGTAAAAACCAATATATCCACGTCATAAACATGTTACCGTGGTATAAGTCGTTGTATAGACAATTGTTGATGGTATTTACCTCTTCAACCGGTTTTCCTTGTTACAATGTTGCAGTAAAATGTATTATAAAGTATTTTTTCCTTATGACTAATTGAACGGTCTGCTAGTCGGCCGACCGTTAAGAAATGTCGTCGACAATGAAAGAAGAGCTTGTTTTAAATGTAAAATATAATTATTCAAAATCTGTATGTAATTGTCCGTCTTTTCCCTTGTCGTATCTATCTTGACTATTGTTTCGTCTGTCACACTTCGGGTATCGTCCGCTGGTGCGTGTGGATCTGGGTACAGGCCCCGAGCTTGCGCTCCTTGCCCGGGCATGTTTCGTCTGTCCTAGTCGCGTCTATTAAGCGGCCAGCAAGCGATCCTGTCAAGGAGGCCGCAATACTAATATAATTTAATATTGGTCTCAGGTATATCAGGACAATTCACACAGCGCCATCTAGACCCAAGTTAAGCTAGCTAAAGCTGTGTTATGGGTACTAGATTACTGATACAAATACATTTTTTGTCGTAAATATACACATATTATACATAGAAAACACTCAGACGGTTATAAACAGTTATACTCATGAATTCAAAACGTTTGTACATGTTTAAACTTTGCGATGACTCGAACTTGCGAACTCGGACGTAAGGCGATACGCTAAACCGCTAGAGCACCGAGGCCGTCAATAATATTATTAGTTTAAAGTTTCACTCACTCATCATCAGGCGAGCCTTTAACTCGTTTGTCCCCTATGCTATAAAAATAAAGTTCAGCTGGTTTTAAACAACAACAATAATAATCTTATAACCTACTAAGCATTAACCGTGGCTTTATTTGTACTTCCTTACTTACATAATCTAGTATCATATCAAATTTCATTCGTAACTTTTCTCATTTATATATATATATACTAGCTTTTGCCCGCGGCTTCGCTCGCTTTAATTTATCCCCTTAGGGGTGGAATTTATCAAAATCCTTTCTTAGGCGATGCCTATGTCATAGTAGCTTTATGCATACAAAGTCTCAGTCCGATCGGTTTAAAATTGGCAAAGCTTCATACAAATTTTCATCCCCTATTTTATCCCCTAGGGGGTAGAATTAATCAAAATCCTTAGCGGATTCTTAGCGGATGCCTACATCATAACATCTACCTGCATGCCAAATTTCAGCCCGATCCGTTCAGTGGTTTGGGCTGTACGTTGATAGATCACTATGTCAGTCAGTCACCTTTGAGTTATATATATTTAGATAGATTTAAATGGTCACTGTATTAAAGTTCAACAGACATTTACACTATTGACTGATAATTTTAATATTGCATGTAACATGCATGTATAGGTTCGAACATTTCGTTGCGATCTGACCGAGTGACCGTAAGTGTACTCGTTGCCATTTTTAAACGCAGTGCTAAAAATGAATTCTGTTGTTTTATAATTTAACGTAGTGTATTAAATTTAGTGTTGTGAATTTTTTTAATTAATAATTAGTAAATAAAGATGAAGTTCTTAATTACTATAGTCTTAATTAGTGTATTTGGATATGGGAAGATGTCTGAATTGGCAGCCGGATGGAGTTTCGTTGGCAATCCATTAGGTAGGGCTCGCCCATGCAATGGGAATAATATTATTGAAGCAGTATTTGAAGCGGGTTTGGGTCCAGAGGAAGAAAATCAATATCAATTGTTCATTTATGAAAAATTTCCCAAACATTCTCGTATTAAGATTTACTTTGATTCTGAAGCAACAGTTACATTGGTGAGTATTTTTATAATTGGCTTATGCCTGGCGATACAATGTACTCTCGCGTCAAGTTTCATTAGAATCGTTGCAGCTGTTTATAATTAAAAGTTACAGACAGACAGTACAATATTAGCATTTATATAATAATAAATAACCCAGTGCAATTCACACAGCCTCAACTAGTCTCAAGCTAAATAGAGCTTATGTTATGGGTACTAGACAACTGAAATAAATATATTTAAATAATTTTTAAATACCTACGTAATATACATAGAAAGCACCTAGACCAATACAACCAAACAACCATACTCATGAATACAAATGTTTCACCGTTTGTGCCGTGCAAGGAATCGAACCCGCGACCATCGGAAATAGAGCGGTGTGTTAAACCGCTAGACCACCGAGATCGTCGATATGATTGAATAAATAATAATAATTATTTTGTCTTTTAACCAACTTTCAGAACGATGATACCGTGGCTAGAATAACACCATTTTCATGGAAGGACTTGTATGTGGTAATAAATTTTTTTAAACCGGCATCAGGATTCGTCGTGGTCATTAAAGGACCTAAAACGGGTACAGTGCCATATCCCACTTCTATCAATGTGAATTCGGTGGAATATTGTAAGGATCCAAAACCAGTAAGTAAAGTAGTGTAAGTCAGGATTATACTCGTTGTGTCCGTGAGTCCGTCTATTCTATAATAGAATAAAATGTATTTTTTGGTAACGATTGTTGTCCATTTTTTTGTTACGGCTCTATCTCAAATTTTATATATTTTTTAATACGATTTGTTAATTCCTGGGAGTATTGTCATAATTATGTGATATTGATATGTGCTGTAATAAATTTTATTCTATTCTATTTTATATTTTGTAGGGATTTCTCGACAATATTGTAAGAGGCTATAAAGGAACAGCGCATGTATCTCTATCAGTTCCAACTGGTTCATGTGGGAGGCGCAAGGTGGTGCACACGGAGCTGATTGTGAACGGTCAACCTACCAAGCCTGGAGACTGGCCCTGGCACGGAGCCATATACAGGCTGGAACAATCCTCGGTGAAATACGTTTGTGGTGGGACGTTGTTGTCAAAATCTTTCGTATTGACGGGTTCGTATACAATCATGTAACGATAACCTGCTTGTATATAACAAGCTATCGTTACATGCACTAACATGAAATTATGAGAAAGAAACACGTAAGATAATTAATTTTTTAAACATTACAGCGGCTCATTGCACTACGATCAATGGAAAACCAGTGTTACCAGAGATATTGAGTATCATTTTTGGAAAGTACAACCTGATTGGTGGTGACATTGCAACTCAAGAGAGAGAGGTGAATATTGCGGTGCTTTCAGATTAATGTCGTATCTGTCAGACGGGAGTTGGTCTTCAGCCGCTTTATAAGTCCTTCCGCGGGTGGAGTGCTAGCTGTTTACGCCTCCTAGCATCGGGTAGCTGTAAAGGCCAGCTACGATCAAAAGTATTAGAGTAAAGAATATTTTATATATGGAGTATATAAAAATTTAAAAAAATATAAATGATTTTTGTGTATTTTATGCTCGAGAATCGACAGCGCCATTTTTCTCACACTACTTTTCTGGAATCAGTGTGGTGGGGGAATTGTGGTTCATAGGGTGAAAAGCCATTCTCGTAATGCGACCAAGTAATCGCCAACAAGTCGGGGATTGTTAGTAATGTAGATTAATAACTCCATTGCTAGCAATATTCCATGTTAGGCTGACCTCCACGTGGTTTCCTCTGGAAACCATCGTGATAAATTCATGGTTAATTTGCCACGATGGGCCAACTAACCTGACCTCTTGCTCATCTTATCATCCTCCACTGCTGCCCCGCCAGCGTAAACCGTTACTGCAGGTGGGGGGACCATTCCATTATCAACCATAAAAAAAAATCCTCAACAAGTAATCCCTGTCAACTAAACGTAATACATGGAACACCACACCTCTTCTATTCTAGTTTTTTATTAAGGATTTTGGACAGTTGTTAGACCTGTAGCACTGAGACCTGCATAGATCTATTGTGCTCGCTCTTTTTCAAAGTTTGCTGGTTATATACCTATCAGGGATAAGAATTCAAGGATATTCTAAGGAGCGACGCTTTTTATCTCCCCAGAAAGTGTAGTCTGGAAAGTATACTCTACTTTCCAAAGAAGATATTTCGTTTCTGCATGAGTGGGCTACAACCACATAGGATGTAACCAGCTATGTAATATTTTTAATTTCTTTTAACAGATATATCAAAATATCGTACATGCGGAGTACGATCCTAAAAAACTAGACAATGACATCGCCCTATTGAAAATTAAGACTGAAGTAACATTCGATGATTACGTCCAGCCTGCTTGCTTGTGGGATCTGAATGATTATAAAAAAATACCAGTAGGAACAGTCATGGGAACTGTAAGTATAATATATGTTTGTGAGGACACGTCTGCTCTTGTTACGAACACTGATTAGACTATTTGTTTTTGCAATAGCATATGCTGGTGGTCACTCTATTCTCCCAAATTTGAATTTAAAAATGTACAACATTTATCTAAAAAGAATATGAGCTGAGTTTCTTGTCAGTTCTTCTCATCTCGAAATCGTTCCGAACTGACGGTAGATTTGATATATCATAGTGTCTGTAATAGACCTACATGAGTAAAGATATTTTGAATTTGAATTTGAATCTAACCTTCTCAGTAAGAAGACCATCATCAAACTTTAGTAGTGACTTCGATCTTGAAGTTAACTCAAAGACCCCAATGGGCCGAACACGGCATATAGAGCTTTGATTGACGATGTGCCTCTGAATGTATTAAAATTAAAGGTCTCGATGGTCTAGTGGTTTAACACACCGCTTTATTGCCGACGAACACGGGTTCAATTTCGCGATAACATTTCTATTCATGAGTACGATTGTTTGTATCCGTCTGGGTGTTTTCTATATATATTATTTATGTATTTAAGTATTTATATCAGTCGTTAACACGAATATTTCGTGTTATCACCTGGTTAGGAATATAAATAACTAGCTACTCGCCCCGGCTTCGCCCGAGTGTACATGTATTGTATATATAAAACCTTCCTCTTGACTCACTCAATCTATTAAAAAAAACCGCTTCAAAAACCGTTACGTAGTATTAAAGATTTAAGCATACATAGGTAATGATAATGATAATGATGATGATGATTATGATGATGATGATGACGATGATGATGACGATGATAATGATGATGATGATGACGAATTATCTTTAAACTATTCCTTCAGGTGGTCGGGTGGGGATTTAATCACAACGATCAACTAGCAAGCACCCTCCATCAGGTGGTGCTCCCCAAAATTTTAGACGGTCCGTGCATTAAAAGTAATACGGCCTTCTTCGGAAAATTATTGACCGACAAGAAATTTTGTGCCGGATACAGAAACGGTAAGTGGTGAACGGTGATGGTGAGGAATATTTTTTTTAATATTTTTCTTTTCACTCTCGATGCAAAGTGATCGCAGCATCAGTTCAATGTACCCATGTTCTTGCAATATAATTCAAGTGAGTTTCGTGTCATAAAATTACCGTAATTTTTTTCTTTTTCTTTTTTTTAATCGTGTCGATCGAGTTCACTACAGTAAGGAGGTAAAATATTAATCAAAGAAGTGACAAATATCACGCGTACAAAGTCGCGAGCATCGACTAGTTTTTTAATTAAATAGACAGATGTACAAATTATTTATATCTTCAGGACTTACAAAGTGAAACTGATAAAAAAATTAATATACAATATTTTCGTGTCACAGTGATTGTAACAAAATACCTCCGAAATGGCTTGACTGAATCTTATGAAATTTTGTGTGTACATTCAGTAGGTCTGAGAACAAAACGTGAACTATTTTTCATATAGGTGGTCAAGGTCATTAGTTTTTTTGACACTAAGGTACCCGTGTCGTTGATATTTTACAATTTACCTCTAATATTCATATAGTATCAAGCATAAATTATTATGTACTACCAGTGCCCGCGATTTCACGCGTGTTAAATTTCTGTAAAAAATATAGCCTATATGTTATTCTGGTGCACAAGCTATATTACTGTAAAGTTCCGTCAAAATCCGTTAAGTAGTTTTTGCGTGAAACAGTAATAATCATCCATACTTACAAATTTTGGTGTTTATAATATGATTAAGATTAAGATGTTTTTGTTATTGTTGTATGTTGTTATGTGTATATGTAACACATACTTATATATACATTACATATATGTGGAATACAAGCCACTTATTTGTCTATAACTATTTTATATGCTTTATATATATCTAAATTGTCACTGCTATCTATTGTTCCCTTTCGGTTTCTCTTCCTGGCACTAGTTAGTAGTGTTTCTTTATAATACACTATTATAATATACAACATATATATATATATATATATATATATAAACACCTCTTTGGGCACTTTGTTGATCACGCCACAAGCCAAACACTTGCTGATTCCACCTTTTGCACTGAATAACTTGACTCCTATCGCGTATATCTCAGGCGGTATGGCAACGTCGCATTCTATTTTGCGATGTGGCCATATATATTCGTCGATAGTACGATATACTCGACACATTTTTTACTAATAATTCGTGCATGACTGGCTCCGAACGGCTAAATTTTTGGTATACACAAAGACTTTTTGGCTCTGAATATATTTCAAAAATCAATTAATTATGTTGATCACTTTATATACTCGTCCTTACTGCGATACTTATTTTCATCCGAATATATATAGATACCGTAACGGTCTATCAATTATGAATTTATTAATTTACTAATCTAGATATTTTATATTCGCAATGCTCCATACATAGTAACTCCACCGTTGCAGGGGGGAGCACCGTACACCGCACCCCGCGCACACAAACAAATTAGATATTTTTTGAATACACAAAGACTTTTTGGCTCTGTATATATATTTCAAAAATCAATTAATTGTGTTGATCACTTTATATACTGGTCCTTACTGCGATACTTATTTTAATCCGAATATATATAGATACCGTAACGGTCTATCAATTATGAATTTACTAATCTAGATATTTTATATTCGCAATGCTCCATACATGCAAGCTCCAGCAACGGTGGAGGCAGGGGGGAGCACCGTACACCGCACCCCGCGCACACAAACAAATTAGAATAAATTAAATTCATAAGATTATTTATATATTTCGACTGCCTCGGTGGTCACACCGCTTTACATCCGATGGTCGCGGGTTCAATTTCTCGCACGGTGCAAACATATGTACTCATCGGTCATCGATTGATTTCATCGGTCTGGGTGTTTTATATGTATATTATATATGTATTTACAAGATAAAAATATCTATTTATATCAGTTCAGTATCAGTCTGTGTTAATTGTCCAGGGCTATTTATTATATTTTTATAAACGGTTATCTTTTTCCATCGCACCGCTCGCTATCGACAGTGAATTCATAGAAATGTCACTCTAAAAACAAAAATAGTTTTGTGTTTTGTATTTCAAATACTAAATGCAAAATAGGTATTTTCAAAATACTTTTTCAAAATAAAGTACCTTTTGAATTTTTGTCCAAACCTCAGATATTTTATTTATTTTAGGTATATCAATCATTACATAGTGTAGTATAAAACAAAGTCGATGTCGCATCTAACAGTACATAAATAAAGAAAGAAGACTTTTTGGCTCTGATACCGTAACGGACTATCAATTATGAATTTATTATACCTAATCTAGGTATTTTATATTCGCAATGCTACATACATTGTAATATCCGCCTCCATTCATTGTAACGGTGGAGGGACTAAATAGTTGAATAAAACTGAATAAGCAGTTGCTCCACTCTATAGGTATGCGTCGTCGTCGTATGCTGTTCATTTTTTCACTCGTTTTGGCGCCAAGACAGGGTCACATAGTCGTGGTCAAGTTAAGAACTTATAATTTAATTTTGATGACAATAGATACAAGTAAAAAGTAGGTATTATATTAATGTACGTAAGTACTGTACTTAAAAATATTCATTCTTTATTGTACATTTGAAAAACTTAACACTTAAGGACTTGTACATATACACGTACATACTGCCATTTTCTCTTAAAGACATCCAGAGAAGCACTATTTATCAAATACGCGGGGTGCACCGACCTTTGACCTTATAACAGCTGATTCGCGCGTAACGAATTACATTGCTACTTACATTACTATTTTATAGTGGATATTTCACTATAAAATATTATTATTTCTTTAGATTATGACATAATAGCATAGTTTACATGATTTTAAGGGAAACATACGATAAAAAAAATTCCCGTAAAATGTAAAAGATAAAAAATGGTTATTGTTGGTTATCCTTGAGAGATAGAAATATACCATCACGGACTTTTTTGTTGACCTTATTTTGATACATCTCAAAGCACTAGACAATACGCATTTTCATTAAACAGTATTGTATTTTTTTTATTTATTTAACTTTAATGCACAAAAAAAATTGTATATGTGGCGGACTTAATATCTTGCCGCGTTATTTACCAGGCAACCATGAGTGGTGCAGCGAAAGATTATTGGCGGTGCACTAATATAAATAAGAAATGTCAAAAAAAGATTTATAAAGATAATAAAGATAAGCAAAATATACATTTCTATAAAAAAATAACAATATACATACATAAATATATAACCCATAAATGTATAAATAAATACATAATGATCCGATAATCAAATTATAAGTACAGTCTCAAATTGAAAGTAAGAAAAACAGAAAATATAGAGAGAACTATAGGGATATAACAGAAAGATGTGAAAAAAGGAGGACAGTAAAAAAGTTACAAATTTAAATAATGTTCCCGCAATTTCTGTTTAAATGAATTTATTACATTATTATATATATTAGGCATACGACTAGCCTTATGACTGTTACTTTTTTTTTAATCTATACATCTATACATGTAAATAAAATTGGAGTGTCTGTTTGTAATATTGAAATAACCGTTTTTTACTACTTGCATATGAATATAAATACGGTACATACACCAAAATAACATATTTTACAAGTTTTGTCTGTCTGTCTGTTTGTTCCGGCTAATCTCTGAAATAGCTGGACCGATTTTGACGGGACTTTTTTTGGCAAGTAGCTGATGTAATAAGGAGTAACTTACGCTACTGTTATTTTAGAAAAATAAAATAAAATTTCACGCGGACGAAGTCGCTGGGGCCAGCTAGTCTATAGATATACCGAGATTTAATATTTAAGTTGCCATTATGTTGTTGACAAAATTTTACTGTAATGTTACTATTACGTTATCCTACACAATTTGTATTATTTTGGATGAATAAATAAATAAATAAATAATAATCTATACATCTATACATATAAATAAAATTGGAGTGTCTGTTTGTAATACTGAAATAACCGTTTTTTACTACATGCATATGAATATATATAAGGTACATATACCAAAATAACAATTTTTATAATTTTTGTCTGTCTGTCTGTCGGTCTGTTTGTTCCGGCTAATCTCTGAAATGGCTGGACCGATTTTGACGGTACTTTTTTTGGCAGGTAGCTGATTTATAAGGAGTAACTTAGGTTACTTTTATTTTAGAAAAATAAAGTTAAATTCCACGCGGACGAAGTCGCGGGAACAGCTTGTTTTTAATAAAAACGGTTTATTTGATAGAAAAAACATCTTTTTTGTGGTACTTGAGAATGTTGAAGCCTGTTGTTTGTAATATTGAAATAACCGTTTTTTACTACTTGCATATGAATATAAATACGGTACATACACCAAAATAACATATTTTACAATTTTTGTCCGTCTGTCTGTTTGTTCCAGCTAATCTCTGAAATGGCTGGACCGATTTTGACGGGACTTTTTTTGGCAGGTAGCTGATGTAATAAGGAGTAACTTAGGCTACTTTTATTTTAGAAAAATAAAGTTAAAAACCACGTGGACGAAGTCGCGGGAACAGCTACTGTATAATATATTAGAGATACCTACGTGTTTTTTTATTGATGACTAGCTGTACACGGGATTTCGTCCGTGTGGAATTTAACTTTATTTTTCTAAAATATAAGAAGTTAAATTCCACGCGGACGAAGTCGCGTGTACAGCTAGTTGTCGGTAGTCTAGCGATTTAGCACACTGCTTTGATTCCTGCTTGGTGGTCGAGGGTTCGATTCCTCGCACGCTGCAAACATTTGTATTCATGAGTAGGATTGTTTGTAACGGTCTGGGTGTTTTCTATGTATAGATAATATATATGTATTTACGAAAAAAATCTTTGTATTTATATCAGTTGTCTGGTACCCATAACATAATCTTCAGCTAGCTTAACTTGGGTCTAGATGAAGCTGTGTGAATTGTCCTGAGATTACTATTATTATTAATTGGTACACAGGTAAACTACTAACTAGGCCATATTGGTGTTGTTTGTTATGGTGAAAAAACTAGTATATATATAAGTTACACGTACAATTTCAAAGACTTATTTCTTGAAAACTACTGGCTATTCTGAAATAAAACTTTAGGGTTTGTATATGTAATGTTTGCATATAAAATATGATTAAAGGTTACCAGTGTATTTACACTTTTACTGAACAAACAGAGTTGTTTAATACTGAAAATATTGTGTGGAAGGCATCAATTACTTTCAGTGCATGTATAGCTTTTTCTCTTTTCCTAATTATTATTATTATTAAGTTTAAAGTGGTTGAATTTTACGTAAGGGGTATTTATACATTATTTCTAATTTACCATTTATTTTAAGTTTTTTAAACTCTATTCATCGAGACCTATCTAATGAGTCCAAACACGATATTTCTGCTGTAAGTTTTCGAAGAGTATGTTCATCATCTGATAATACTGGTGCCGGCATGAAGTCAAGGTTAACAGATAACTAATTACTTTTATTTCGTCAAAATCTTTAGATTACGTATAATAAATTCATAATATCGCTACCTATTCAAATCAAAACAAGTATTAGGTACTTCATGTACTAGTATATAAATTCATCAACACACAAGTAAATGATTTTTAAATATATTCAGAGCCAAAAAATCTTTGTGCATTTAAAAAATTTTGCCGATACGGATTCACTATTGCAGGAAATTGTTGAAAAAATATATATCGAGTATCTACTACTATCGACGAATACATTTGGCAACAACGCATGGTCTCGGCCGGAACGGCAACATCGCATATTAGAATACAAAGATAGTGGTAGAAAGAGAGAGACAGTGGAATCAGCAATATCTACGGATCGTGGCTGGATCAACTAAGTGTGCAAGTTTATATAAATGTATATATATATATATACATTTGTCTTTAATTCAAAGGAAATACAAATAATGAACGCATCACATTTAAAACAGTAATAAGTACGTAATATTATCACATTTTCAAACAGTAAGTACGTAATATTATCACATGGTAACAGCACGTATTATGGCAAAAATAAACATCGGCTGATTTGAAAAGATTTATTATAGTAATAATAGTAATCTCAAGACAATTCACACAGCTTCGTCTAGACCCAAGTTAAGCTAGCTGAAGATTATGTTATGGGTACTAGACAACTGATATAAATACAAAGATTTTTTGTCGTAAATACATATATATTATCTATACATAGAAAACACCCAGACCGTTACAAACAATCATACTCATGAATACAAATGTTTGCAGCGTGCGAGGAATCGAACCCTCGACCACCAAGCAGGAATCAAAGCGGTGTGCTAGCTAAATCGCTAGACTACCGACAACTAGCTGTACACGCGACTTCGTCCGCGTGGAATTTAACTTCTTATATTTTAGAAAAATAAAGTGAAATTCCACACGGACGAAATCCCGTGTACAGCTAGTCATCAATAAAAAAACACGTAGGTATCTCTAATATATTATACACTAGCTGTACCCGCGACTTCGTCCACGTGGTTTTTAACTTTATTTTTCTAAAATAAAAGTAGCCTAAGTTACTCCTTATTACATCAGCTACCTGCCAAAAAAAGTCCCGTCAAAATCGGTCCAGCCATTTCAGAGATTAGCTGGAACAAACAGACAGACGGACAAAAATTGTAAAATATGTTATTTTGGTGTATGTACCGTATTTATATTCATATGCAAGTAGTAAAAAACGGTTATTTCAATATTACAAACAACAGGCTTCAACATTCTCAAGTACCACAAAAAAGATGTTTTTTCTATCAAATAAACCGTTTTTATTAAAAACAAGCTGTTCCCGCGACTTCGTCCGCGTGGAATTAAACTTTATTGTTCTAAAATAAAAGTAACCTAAGTTACTCCTTATAAATCAGCTACCTGCCAAAAAAAGTACCGTCAAAATCGGTCCAGCCATTTCAGAGATTAGCCGGAACAAACAGACCGACAGACAGACAGACAAAAATTATAAAAATTGTTATTTTGGTATATGTACCTTATATATATTCATATGCATGTAGTAAAAAACGGTTATTTCAATATTACAAACAGACACTCCAATTTTATTTATATGTATAGATTATTATTTATTTACTTATTTATTCATCCAAAATAATACAAATTGTGTAGGATAACGTAATAGTAACATTACAGTAAAATTTTGTCAACAACATACTAGCAACCTAAATATTAAATCTCGGTATATCTATAGACTAGCTGGCCCCAGCGACTTCGTCCGCGTGAAATTTTATTTTATTTTTCTAAAATAACAGTAGCGTAAGTTAATCCTTATTACATCAGCTACTTGCCAAAAAAAGTCCCGTCAAAATCGGTCCAGCTATTTCAGAGATTAGCCGGAACAAACAGACAGACAGACAGACAAAACTTGTAAAATATGTTATTTTGGTGTATGTACCGTATTTATATTCATATGCAAGTAGTAAAAACGGTTATTTCAATATTGCAAACAGACACTCCAATTTTATTTACATGTATAGATGTATAGATTAAAAAAAGTAACAGTCATAAGGCTAGTCGTATGCCTAATATATATAATAATGTAATAAATTCATTTAAACAGAAATTGCGGCAACATTATTTAAATTTGTAACTTTTTTACTGTCCTTCTCCATTTTTCACATGTTTCTGTTATATCCCTATAGTTCTCTCTATATTTTCTGTTTTTCTTACTTTCAATTTGAGACTGTACTTATAATTTGATTATCAGATCATTATGTATTTATTTATATATAATATTTATACATTTATGGGTTATATTTAAATGAATTTAATCGATAAAATCGTTGTTAAGTATTAAATTAATTGTAAGTGATATTAACTATTATATTATGCATAAAAAATATTTGTAATAATAAAGAAAATACATTTAAAATATTTTACTTGTTGTGTTAGTTATTTATAAGATCTTACTATAATTGTTAGCTGCTTTACAATTTAGAAAGTACAATAGGTAATGTAAATTAAAATTAATTGAATACTTAACAACGTTTTGTTCGATTAAATTCATTTAATTATTAAAATAGTTAATTTAAAATTAGAATAAAGAAAAAAAAAAAATAACAAAAAAAATCGGTGGCGGGAATCGAACCTTGAGCGTCCGTTTGGTAAGTTGATTCAAAGGCTTATTAAAATCAAAATTCAAAATTCAAAGTTACTGGTCATTTTGAAATAATACTTAGGGTTCGCATACCCTTATCGGATACTACTACTACACGGAGTTTCGTCAAAATAGAATATCTAGGTTAGGTGTAATAAATTCATAATTAATAGACCGTTACGGTATCTGTATATACTCGGATCAAAACAAGTACTATGAAATAAGAAAGAGTATATAAATTGATTAACACAAGTAATTGATTTTTGAAATATATTCAGAGCCAAAAAGTCTTCTTTCTTTATTTATGTACTTGTTAGATGCGACAGCGACTTTGTTTTATACTATACTATACTATGTAATGATTGATATACCTAAAATAAATAAAATATCTGAGGTTTGGACAAAAACTCAAAGGGTAATTTATTTTGAAAAAGTATTTTGAAAATACCTATTTTGCTTTTAGTGTTATAGTACTTTAAGTGTTATATTTTAAGTAACAATGTTTAATTATAATTAATACTACTGCACCAACACTCCGATCGTACAAAAAATTTGCTGTTTCATTATTTTTTAGTTCAATTAGTGGTCTACCTAAGTCCTGGGCTAAGGGGGGGGGAGAGTCATGACGCCCCCATGACTCCCAAGACCTCCATGACGCTCCCCCCTGGATCCGCCGTTACGTCTTCTCTTCATTCGCTCAGTAACGTTGTTACTAAAGGAAAAATTCCCGTCCAAAAAATAACAAGTATTGAGGTTTGATCTGGAGTCACGTTCCTCTAGACTGATTTCTATAAATATTTAGATTAGATAGACTATTATTCTTGAAATACTAGCTAGACATTATTAAGTTACTGTAGCCATAATGTAGTAGTCCAAACGTGCCAATGAGGAAGCCCTTGGCAAATGCTGCACCCTGATTGGCCCGTTTGAATTGGATCAAGAAGTGGTCGAATGCCAAAAAGGTGGATTTGTATAAAATCGTGTATAAATCGCTTAATTATTATTATTACTCGTCGTGACAGTTGTGGCTCAAAACGGATCAACATTTATATATGGTCATCTGGCATTAGATCAACAAAAGGCCTCCGGATCAACAAGTGAAAATGGATCAACAAAAAACTACCTATACGGCACGTCTGAGCCACAAAGTGCCCAAGGGGATATTTATATATATATATATATATATATATCTTACAATTCCTTGGTTTCCTTTATCGCCCACAATATGTATGTGTGTATATACATATATGTATGTTAATAATGGTCATCAATAAATGCTTTTCTTTCTTTCTATCTGCTATATACCTGTAGGTACTTCTGCCTGCAATGGAGACAGCGGCGGTGCTTATCAGGTGTTCGTCCCTGATGTTTCTGGTGACTCTACAGCCAATGCAACTGGTGCCTGGCACGTCCACGGCATCGTATCTCTAGCTATATCCCGACCTAATGAACCTATCTGTGATAACACGCAATACTCACTGTTTACAGATGTCGGTCGGTTTGTTCCATGGATAAAGACATATATTAAGACTGATAATTAATTTTATCAGTGTCTTTATATAAAATATATTATTATAAATTATGTTTTTGTATTATTTAATAGTTACCCAGGTTTCTACGTGTTATATATTTTACTAGCTTTTGCCCGCGGCTTCGCTCACGTTAATTTATACCCTTAGAGGCGGAATTTATCAACATCCTTTCTTATAGGATGCCTACATCATAGTAGCTTTATACATGCAAAGTCTCAGCCCGATCGGTTTAAAATTGACAAAGTTTCATACAAACTTTCATCCCCTATTTTATCCACTTGGGGGTAGAATTAATCAAAATCCTTTCTTAGCGGATGCCTACGTCGTAACATCTACCTGCATGTCAAATTTCAGCCCAATCCATCCAGTTTGGGCTGTGCGTTGATAGATCACTATGTCAGTCACCTTTGAGTTATATATATTTAGATTATAATATTATAATAAATTATATAAAATTATAATAAATTTTATTTTTAAGACTACAGCATGGGGTTTTTCAAGTAGAGTTTATTTAAGATTTCTTTTTCTGACTACTCTAATGATGTAGGCCGCAGCTGGCCTTTACAGCTTAACCGGACGATAGGCGAGTGGAGATAGCACTTGTCTCTTGGAAGGACTTATGGAGCGGCTGAAGGCCAACACCCGCTTGACGGATACACCTTCAGGCTGAGGGCACCGCTAGGAGTTCGAATCTCGGTTCAGGCTGTCGTAATTTCGATTCCCGTTCCCGAATTGGACGAGGGATCCATCGGAGGAGTGTGCAGCGTTGCTTAATACTCAAGAGTCAGCAACGCGCACATGAACCCCTAGTACTTCAGGCGTCCATAGGCTAAATTAACCGTTAATTTTGATAAGTAATGTGCTATATGGTTCTTTTCCACCATCGTAGCGTAAAAAAATCATCATCTGCTTCTTCCTTATCCCATTTATTTGCGGTCGGCGTAATATGTTTTTCGCTTCCATTCATCCCTGTTCGCAGTCATCGCGTTATTTACTTCCTTTCTTACCATATCATCTTTCACACAGTCCAACCATCTCTTTTTCGGCCTTCGTCTGCCCTTATAACCATCCACATTCATTTGTAACATCTTTCTTAAAATATTATCCTCGTTCCTACGCATTACATGTCATGTGCAATTCAGTATTTGTCACAACCTGATCTGACAGTTGAAAATCAAGATAAAGCTCGAAACATATATATAAGAAAAAGAAAAAACCCCGATTTTGAGATGATGGATATTAAGGATTCATTAATGCTTTCTTTTAAAAGCATGCTCAACTCCGAGATTACGGATATAAAAAAAACAAAATACAAAAATACTGGAATCAAACGCTGAAATAATAAATCTTTTGCAAATTAATGCCTCTAATTATCAAGAAGTAAGTGAAAAGGTTGAAACATTGGAAATAAAGCATGCTGCTGCACTGGATCGTATAGATGACCTTGAAACTCAGCTGGAGGGGATTCAAAAACAGTTAAAAAGAAACACAGTTGAAATAAGAAACGTGCCAAAACGTGAAAAAGAAAATTTGAATGAAGTTGTTGCGGATATTTATAGCGCTATAAACCTAAAAATGGAAAACGTCCCTATCAATGTGTTTAGAAGAGGTAAAAATATTTCACCAATTATAGTAGAATATCAATATTTGGAGCATAAAGAAATACTTATAAAAGCTTTCAAAATTTTTAACAATGAAAATAAAAACGCACGTTTAAATCGACAACATTTAGGATTCCATAGTGATAATTCACGAATTCATATAACAGAATCCTTAACTACCGAGTCAAAGAAAATTTGGATTGCCGCCCGTGAGCTTGTCAAGAAAGGTTCATATAAATATTGTTGGACATCACGAGGCACTGTTTTACTACGGAAAGATGATGGCTGTCCTGCTATTGCTGTTAAATCATATAAGCAACTTTGTGACTTGGACACACAATGACTATTTATTATAAGAAGCTATACTTGCTGTATTAGATTAGAGTTATTTATTTATTTATTTTTTAATTTGTATTGCCACATGAAACTTGGTGATAACTCTTCTCAATTTCTCACTTATGTTCAATATTTTTCCTACCAGACAATAAAATCATATATCTATTATAATATATTTAAATATATTACTAGATTAACTACAATTATATTCCATTATATATACATTTCTATTGGTTCCACAATGTCCAGTGTCATGCCTCACTTAAATAAAGGTAAAGATCTCCAACCATACTCAAAATCTAAAGTAATATTATTTTACCATAATGTTGCAAAATGACATTAGTGTAGTATCCACCGATGTTGACAATATTGTTAGCATTGGTGACTCAATTGTGGTTGGTGATCCTGAAGCTTTTAAACAGTATAGTCTGACTACTGAAAACTCACTTAAGATTATCGTGCAGAATATAAGGAGTATCAATCGTAATTTTGAGGATATTAGATTTTTCTGGCACGTAGTAATCTTACTTACGACTTAATTGTTCTTACTGAATGTTGGTTGCGAAATACCGATACAATACCTATATTTGAGGGCTATAATTCATATTCAACTTGTAAACATATTAACCAGAATGGTGGGGTAGTCGTATATCTCCACAATAAATTAACTAATATTCTTGTATATGAACCAAATATTAATGATGCAGACTGTCTAGTTGTTAATGTCGGCAGAGATTGTGCATTCATATGCGTATATAGATCTCCTTCATTTGTTTTGCCAAATAATTTAATAAGTTCCTTGGACAAATTATTAACTGATATTAAAAAGATTCCTAACAATTCATAACAATTTACTTTACTGGAGATATTAACATTAATATTGGCAAGGATAGTAATGATACGAAGGCTGTTGAATATCTGGATCTACTTGCAACACACTGTCTTCTTCCTAGCCATATTCTTCCTACTCGTTTTGTTAAATGTCTTGATCATTTTTTCGTTAAATCAGATACTAGAATGTTAACAATGATATGTGAATCTTCAATTACAGACCATAGTACGTTGTATGTTAACATGGCATTAACATCGCAGTCCAATAATATTTTCAAAAATAAAACTGTTGATAGAATGGATTATAATAAGGTTGTTGAACTATTAACGATGCATGATTGGGATGACATATTCTTAATAAATGACCCAGATAAAGCTACTGAGCTATTTATGGATACACTACTTGCAATAATTAATAAATCGACGCGTTCATATACAATACCTTGCAGACAATCAATATCACAACCCTGGGTAACACCCGGACTGTTACGCTGTATGAGATTCAGAGACACACTCCATAAAAGACACATAAAATCACCCAATGATAAAATCTTAGAAACTTCCTACAAGCGTTACAGAAATCATTGCAATAAAATTCTCCACAATTTAAAAAACGCATATAATAAATCTAAATTGCAAAAATGTAAAAATGACATTAAAGGTACATGGCATGTCATAAAGCGTGTTTGCGATTTAAATAGGGATAATAATATGCAGTCCTATGACTTGCTTAAAATTAAAACTACTCCACAGGAATCTCTTGATTATATAAACAATTACTACATAACTATTGGAAAGAAACTGGCAAATAATGTATTAAACAGATTAAACCTTTTTTTTTTTTTTTTTTAACGTGTGGAAAATCTTCAAAAGACCGTCACCCCGCCGGAGGGAGGGCGGGGCGGTGTGTGAGATTTGTACTCACCAAAAACCACACGGTGTACCTACGAGCGCCTATGCCGGAGCCAGGGGATTCGCAAGTGCATTTCTACCCCAGCTCCGACGGCGACGGCCCGCCCTGTAGATGTTGTAGGGCAGGCCCCATCTCGTTATGTGGTTAGGGCGACCTATTTCGCCCTACTCCATTGTGGAGGCGTGTGGGTACACGCGCACACCTCCGGGGCCTTTGGATTGGGGGGACTGCCTCCCTCAAGGCAGTCACCCCGGCCCCAGTGGGGGATAGAGGGGGGCGGAGTTGGATACGCCCCCACCTCTAGGCCTGGCTCTTCTGCGGCGGAGGGAAGCGGGACGAGCTGACTCCCGCTCCCTTTCCGCCGCCTCCTTCCGCGAGATAACTTCCTCGCAGAAGGAGCTCACCGCCAGCCACGATCTCTCGCTACTGATCATCCTCCGAACTAAATTCGGCAGCGAGAGATCGTCCCCCACTATTCGTGTGAGGACACGGCGCTCACTCTCGAACGCTGGACATATTTCCAGCGTGTGTTGCGCCGTGTCCTCCACACCTCCGCACTCGTGGCAGCCGGTCGTCGGCTCCTTCCTCGCCACATGACACAGATACCGCCCGAAGCATCCGTGCCCGGACAGTATCTGCGTCATGCGGTACGTCAGCGGCCATCGCCTACTCATCCACCTTTTGAGGATGGGACGGACAGCCTCGACGGTCCTCAGGCCGGCCGATGGACTGGCCAGCCTTTCTCTCCACCTGATCCTGAGGATCCGCCGAAAGTCGGACCTCCGCGCTCCAATCTCGTGGCCAGCGGGTGCCTCCCCCATGGAACGTCGCTCCGCGCGCCAGTGATACACTGACGCGTGGAGCTCCGCTACCAAGTCCCACGGAGGAGACCCCGCCAGCAGACCCGCCGCTTCCCCGGATATGGTGCGGTAGCCTCTTATGGCCCGTATGGCCATGACCCTGTGTGGCCTGTTGAGGCAGGCCACATTGTCCCTCCCTAGGGCCCCCACCCAGATGGGGGCCCCGTACAGGGCCATGGACCGCACCACGCCGAGGTATAGGCGGCGGGAACCTTCTCCCGGGCCCCTCACATTTGGCAGCAGCCAGCTAAGAGCGCCGGCGGCTGCCATAAGGCGAGGGACCAGGTTCCGGAAGTGAGCGCGGAAGCTCCAACGACTGTCCAGGTCAAGCCCCAAGTATCGAATACAGGGCTTGACCCCCACCCTCTGGCCACTGACGACCAGCTGGGCATCCGGAGGTGGCGCACGCCGAGGCCCATGAAAACACAGGACCTCGGTCTTCTCCAGCGCCACCTGGAGCCCAAGCCTTCTTATACGACCGACGACCAGCGCCACGCAT